GGTTGGCTTTGTCATCATGAAATTCTTTAGTTGTTCTTTGTCATGGAAGTATTTCACTTCTCCATCAAACTTGAGAGTTTTGCAGGGTATAGTAGTCTAGGTTTGGATTTGTTTTCATAGAGGCCTTGATGTACTCTGCTCCATGCTCTTTTTGCCTTCATGATTTGTGAAGAGAAGTGGGCTATAAATCTGATCGATTTTTTTAATGTGATCTGCGTCTTTTCTCTAGTGGCTTTCAGTATATTATTCCTGTGCTGAATTTCTGGGATCTTGACTATTATATGTCTCGGTGTGTTTTTAATTGGGTTGAGGTTACTTGGCATTCTGTGTGCTTCAGTTACGTGGATGTCAGATTGTTTCCTCATATTTGGGAAGTTTTCTGCTATTACTTCTGCCCATATTCTTTTAATGTCATTTGTATTGATTCTTTCTTTCTCATTGATACCTATTAGTATCTTATATTTTTAATCTTTGCCTCATCTTGCAAGTGATGAATCATTTTTTCCTGCATCCTAGTTGTTTTTAAGAGATCTTTTCTTATCTTTTCACTAGCTGCACCAGCGTGTTCAAGATCTGAAACTCTATCTTCACTTTCACTCAAACAGTTTTGCAAGCTTGTGATTGAGGTTTTAAATTCCTCTATATCTCTTTGACTCTGCTTTATGCTTCCTGCAATGTCTTTCTTTCTTGTAATGCTCATTCAAACAATGCGTCATTTTTCTAATGTCCTCTATTTTTTTATCAATGTCTTCTTTAAAAGTAATTATTAATTCTCTTACTGCAGGGATTTTTCAGATTGTTTTTCCTCTATATGTTTTTGTATTTGATTCTTTACTTCAGATGCAATGAATTCAGAGATTTCTTTTTTTTTTATTTCAGAAACTAATTCCGCTCTGGGTTCCTCTATATCTTTCTGCTGTTGCTTATTTACTTTCGACGCTATTAATTCATTTATTTCAGCTGAGCTAGTGTCCTCTGCACTTGTTCTGGGTGGGCATTAGGTTTCCTCCATATGTTTCTGTATTTGATTCTTTATTGCAAATGCTATTAATTCAGGGATTTCTTTTTTTATTTCTGATCTGAGTTCCTCTATACCTTTCTGCAGTTTTTTCTTTAATTCAGAAGCTCTTGAGTCATTGATTTCAGCTGTTTGAGTCCCAATTTGTTCTGCGCTAGTGTCTTCCTCACTTGTTATGGGTGGGCTTGGGTTCTGAGATTGCATTTTTTCCTTCTTGTCATTTTGTGTAGCACTGTCTTCTGACCTTTGTTGTAGAGCGTTGGTGCAGTTATAACCTTAGCACCTATTGGAATTGTGGTGCAGATCTACAAAGTTTGAATAAATCCAGTTGTACCTGGCTTGGGTCTGGCTGCTGTGCTCAGCTCCTTCTGGCTCCAGCCCTTGGGAGTGAACCTATTGTGCCCCTCTGGCAGGATGTTCTGCTCCTGGACTACCTGGGTGGTTCTGTCCCATACTCTCTCTGTAGGAACTGCAACTGCAGAGTTTCACCACAGGCCTGTATGCCAGACCTGAGCTGAGTCTGAAGGGGACAAGGAGGAGTAGGCTAGAGGGGCAGCCCTCCCACACACTCACTGGGCCTGGGCTAGAGCTCGATCTGGGAATCTTAAGAACATGGCAGAAGTTCTCCCTCATTGATGGGTGTGGGGGGAAGGCTGCAGAGTAGCTGAAATGTTTTGAAGCCATGTGTGTGAGCTGTCTTAGCTGATGTGGGCTCCCTCCCCTACGGCTCCCTGTGCAGCCCTGTGCTTGCTGAACACCCACTGCTCTTTTCTAGGTCTTCTCCTGGGGTTCTTCTCCCCAGCCCACCAGAGAGTTTGGCTACTGAACTCTTCTGTCTACTGAGTTTCTCTTTTTTTTATTAATTTTATTGAGAAACAATTAGTAATGAGACAATTTCAAAACTGATTAGTAGGACAGTTTCAATAATTAATACATTTCATATTGTTGCCTTCGTAGCGGCTATTCATAGTACAAGATGCAGATACAATGTTCTGTCCAAACAGTATTAGTCCAAACACAAATCTTTCTTCTCACTGAATTAAGAGAAAGTAGCTGTATATCTATCTTAACTATTTTGTATATGCAGATTCAGAATGGTCTGCCATTTGTATCCTCTTTTCTTTTGTACAGTTTTGTCAGAGATGGGTACTCCATTGCCATTTAAATATTGTAGGTGTGTTAATTCAGCAAAATAATCCAATATAGTCCAGTAGTCCATAATAGTAGTGGGTTATCCATAAGACTGACAGTGTCAGAAGTTGTTCACTTGAGCCTTTTGCAGCTCAGCATATTAATATGGCTTTACTTTTTATACTTTTCTGCTGGATGGTTAAGACCAAGATAAAGCATGACCTATATAACAAGAAATGTAACTTTTGTATCTGAAAAGGTCAGTCAAGTCCCCTCAAGATTTACCCTGAAACCCCGTACCGCAGTTTGTAGATCCTTTGTCAATGTCAGCCATGTAGATGAGTCATGGCCATTGCTTGACCAATTTTCTCTCTGTGAAAGTCTGAGAGAATGTTTTCTCTCCATGTGACTCTCCTTAGGCACATTCTACATTGTTGGTCACTTTCCTCTGTGGCCCCATAATCTCCTTGATCAGAAAATCAGGGACACAAGTGAGTTACTTAATGTTACAATATAGGTTCTCCTATGTCATAAGTCTTCACTCTCCTTGAAGGGCTAGGGCCAAATATTGGCTGTCCTTTCAGCCTTTCTTTTTCTCTAATTTTTTGGTCTGCAATCTTAGGTTGTTAGCCCTCCAGAAGAGCAGCTTAATGATATTATTACCCTACAACATAGGCAGTTGAGCTTAACCCCACTATCTGTTTTTTACCCTAGAGCCCCTACCTTCATTTCAGTCCTAGGAGCGGGTTTATGCCCCACAGTGGCCAGCTGGAGAGCAAACCTTCAGGCACACACATCCCCTCTCTCCTCCTCTCACAGCCTGCTGTGACCAAACATAACATCCGGGGATTTGATGTCCCAGTCGCTTTTCTGATATCTGGAGCAATTACGTGTCGCTGACAACCTAAAGCCGAAGTTCATTCAGCTTGTGTGCATAGTCCACAGTGCACTTTCTCTAGGGCACAAGGACACAGCAGAGGTGCACAGCAGCAAAGAGCCTGCTGAAGTTTCAGCGGTCGAGAAGCAGAGAACAAAGCGAGAGACCCGGTGACAGGCCCACCGGGTCAGGCCGACCTCCAGGGATGCGCCTCCTCCTCCCGGGAGCCACCTGCAACAGTGAGCCAGCTCCATGCACCCTTCCTAAGTCCGCCTTCACAGAGCCCTGTCTACAAGCCCTGAGGCCCCGGGGGACTTTCTAAATCTGAAGCGGGACACTCGATGAACTCATTTCTGTACAACTGTACACACATATCTAAATTCTCCAAACTCATGAAATATTTAAGCAACAGTGCCTCTGCGGAGCAGATGGTTGCCCTTTTCCTTTTTCTGTCTTTTCTAAGTTTTTTTTTTTAATGCCTCCAGACTGATTTGAATCATCATCAGAATCATTGTGAAAGAAATTGATTATCGGGGCATTGCTTATGTTTTGCGTTTGGACTTGTGATAGATCGAGTCAAAACTAGGGATGATTTTCCTTGCCTATAAAAATCAACCAAAATGAATCTGCCAATTAATTTTTAAGAATTTTTTCCCCCTTAAATTAGAAAAGGTAGAGCAAAGAGCACATCTTTACAGGAAAGATTTTATTTCAAGGCCTGGCCAGTAGCATGCAAGATTTTAGAGTTGTGGAAATCCTGGATTCCAGAGAATGACCTCCAGAGACATGAGCCTCCAAGTAGTCAGGACTCGCCGCTCTGAGGGACAACAGATAGGCTTGGCTTTGGTTTTGCTTTTTTATTGTATGAGAAAATAAAACAAAATTTCATAGTAGAATAATAGAAGACTACTGTCTTAGTTACTTTTTTACTGGTTGCTGGGACAAATACCCAACACTCAAAATGAAGGAAGGAAAGGTTTATTTAGCTCACAGTTACTGGAGGGTTCAGTCCATATTCCGCTGGCTCCAAGGCAAACGACAGCAGTTCACGCGGCAGAAAACAATGAAGAGCAGAGGAGGAGCAGCAGCTGCAGCGGCGTCCATCAAGCCTCTCTCTTCCTTCTACGCTGACTGCGAAGACCAGTGCTCCACAGGCCCCAAATTGGCTCAGCTGAGAAGGTCAAGCTCCTGCAAAGCCTGGGACTTCACCTAAGCAGGGCAGGGGGGCATGAAGCCTTCCCCAATTCCTGGGCCCTGCCCACCTGCAAGGTTAGGCCCCCACATGCAGAGCTGATTCAGCCAAGTGGACACAATATCAACTAGCACAACTACAGTAGTTAATAGAGGGTGTGTTGTTGTCTTCAAAGCAGTTAGGTTTTAACAGTGGAAAGCAAGGCCTAGCTAGGGGAGGGGTCCCGGGAGGTGGAGTCGCAGGAGATGGCAAAGCCAGCACTGTCAGGTGGAGGGTCAGGCTCGGGCGCTCTGCTCTGTGGGACCCCTTCAGGCGCAGGTCGCAGGGAAGCACGAGCGCCTCAGAAGCACACGAAAGCAGTCACCCTGGAGAAGGGGCTGTCTTGGCACCCTCGTGGGCAGGCCATCATCACCATGCCTTGTCTTGCTCGTCTTCGTGGAGGGCGCAGCGAGTCAGCTTACGAAATAAAAGATCTGTTACTAGGCATGGTTTCAGGACAAAGTTTCTGTAAAGAAACTGTGTCACTAAGAGAAAACAAGCTGTTAAAATTGAGGGGTTTTCTTGCTTTAATTAAAGTTTATCAGAAAAGTATGATGTCATGGAAATAAATCCCTGTTGTGGTATTAAACAAATAACTCAAGAGGTCTCAAGAGATAAAAATAGCTTACGACCTGCCCGTACTTTCCTTTCTTTCCATCCTGCTTTTCAGATTATCCAATCCTGTCGAAAGCCGAAGGCGTCCCACTGTACAGAGGAAAGCACGCGAAGGACATTGCTCTGAGTGGCCTGCATCCGGCCATCGACGGTGAGCTCGTGGTCAGTCCTCTGCAGCACCTCTACTTCTTACTCCCTCCAAAACGCCAGTGATCATTTAAAAATCTTCTATTCATAGGAGAAGTAATCTATGCTGTCATGTGCATGACAGTCACCTGTGGAGTCCTTGTCCTGGTCATGCTCAAGCTGAGGTAACTGCATAGAACACAGAAGGGAAGCTGGGGAAGGGCCCCTTCACTGCATGCAGATGTATGTCCCCGTGCCTGAGCTCGCGGCTGTCCTGGGCGCGAGTCTGCTCCCCGAGGACGTGCTAGGCTGGCCTCCCTGTGGGAGAGCACCCAGAAGCACCGTGCTCACTGCTCACGTGTAAGGTAACTGTGACCACGTGATGTTCACTGTTGCAGTTCACAAGCAGATGTGCGTTATGCATTCCTTCTGACTAAGTGCTATCTACCTGTCTTTCCTGTTTGTTTTCTTACAAAATCCAAGTTGAATTTTGCTGTATTCCTTATTCAACTTATTTGAAAGGCTGACAGACTCACATACATCATCCGTTATTGTATGCTTCACACAGTTTCTATTTACTTGAAGATTTTTCACCACCCCAATATTTTACAGGCCGATGGGTTTTTGTGCAGCTATGGTGTAGGAGTAGCCAGGGATACGCTTCAGGTGGTGCCGCCGCGGCACACCCATAGAGACACTTCGCCATTGCCTGACATTCACTCCAGCTTTCCCAATCTTCCTTCTTGCTGTCTTCCTTGCTGGGAGGGAGCAATATTGCTGCTAGCATGTGAGGCTCTATGATCAGAGACATACTGATTTACAGATTTATGGATTTTTGAGATGTAAAATATTGTAATGTAGTATTGCCAACCAGAACATTATGCTTGTTTTCTTTAATTTTTTTATACCTCATATTTAAATGTCAACAATATTCATTTTCTTATTCGTTATGCACAGTCGTATCTCAGTTCATGAACTCAATCTTCTCCAAGATTCTGATTGCAAATCAAATTAGACAAAAACTGAATCAAATTTCCCAATCAAGTCAACACTGAGCCTAATCATTGAATTTGATTTTGTTCTCATTCAACTTGGATTTTGACAAGAATTGTGAAGAGTCACACTTGTGAATCAAGGTGCTACTGTGTGGCTATGTATAACGTTAATAAATGCTAATTATAAATGTTAAATATTAATGCAGAAATACACATGTAAGTTTGTACACATACATGAGTATGTGCATACACACAAACTATTAATTTTGGGGGGAATAGAAACAGAATGACTGAACATTCAATTCATGTTGTCTGACACCTGCGAAGGCCCAGTCAGCCTTTGCACATGTGTTACTTCTCAAGACCAAATCTAGGACTTCCAGACCTGGACAGACAGGCAGACACAGGAAAGACAGAAGTGAGCAGTCTGTGCAGCAGCGGGCGTGCAGGTCCACTGTCACCGCATGTCTTGCCAAGGGCATACAGATTCGCATGCTTCTATTAAAATAAATCTATATTTGTGAAAGTTTATTTTATCAACAATTATTTTTAGGATGCATGCAATCTATGATTTTGTCTAATTCAAGAGAATACAAAATGGTACAAAAAAACAACATTAAAACTACAAAATTTCACTATACAAAATAACAGGAATTTGACAGTGGTGCTGTATTCTATAATGTTCTCTGCAAATTAGTTGTTTAGATTACCAGATACAAACATGCAAAATTGGTTAAAAAGTTATAATAAATTGAAAAGGTGAAGAAAAAAATTTAATCATTAACTTCCCCTACATTCTTTTAAATGTTATACAGTTAAAGAAAACATCTCCATTTGTTGGCACCGAGCCTTCTAAATATTTAATTTTGTGTTTGCTAAAATCAGTACCAAAATAAACTGCTATCCTCAAAGACTTTCAAAATATTACTTCTCTGAGAACTTACCCAGTGGGTTCTAACATTGAGATCAAAGGCCAAGGAATTAAGGTCTATTTCAATGGGGAAAAGTAGTCTTCAGAATTTATTAAACTTTCCTTTATATTTTTCAAACTATCCAAGAGCCCTGTTTTCTTTGAGTGTCTAAAACATTGTTTCCCAGAAACCATTTCTTGGTCCTGCAGAAAATGGGCCTTGACACACTAACTGCTCAGCTGCACACACGATGTGTAAAGTCTATGGGCCTGCGCGTTTTGCAGAGGGCATCGAGTGACAGACCCGGCAGGTGGCAGGGTTGGCCACAGTGCCGCCCTTTCCTTCCTTTCTGCGTTGGAAATCGTATCACTTACCTGGTAACAAGCAGAGCACTGTCACTACTGCAGATGAAAGTCTTGGATTTGCTCTAATACAGACTTTAACTTATTCAAGCTGTCAAGTAGTTACATTCTAGCTAAAGATCATTTTTCATATAATTTAAAATTACTCACAATGTATAATCTGAAAGTTCGTGGGGCGCTGAGGATATAGCTCAGTGGCACAGCGGCTATCTGAAAGTTCAAGACCTGCTCTTAGGGAGGGCAAAGTAAAAGCCATCATGAAAGAAGAAACAAACGAAAGCATCAGCAACAACGGCACAGCATTGCCCCACATGTGGAGACAGGTATGCACCAGTGAGCTCAGGCTTAATGTATTTCACTGATAGTTAGGGCTATTTCATGTGAACATGCATCTTAAATAAAGATTAAGTGCTTGTGTTTACTGGACTGCTAAACTGAAAGAGCTTCAGATCTTCAACTAAACCTACAGAGAAACCAAGCAAAACTTATATAGTTAAATAAAGGACCATTTAAAAAGAGTATTTGGAAATTATATATGATTATGTATGGAATTATATATGGAATATGTGTACATATGACACTCCTTAGAAAGACCTTGGGGCAGCCTACCTTTAGAACTCCACCTTCACAGATTTGATGGCCTCCCCTCCACCCCCACCATAGACTTCAGCCAAAAGAATAAGGACACACAAGCACAACTGCAAAGTACTTGAAGTAACATGTTGTTAACTTCTTATTTTATATAGACTCTCCAGAATTTCAAGTCAGACAAGGGGTCCACTGCCCATCCAAACACCGGGAGGAATCATCATTCACTAGGAGTCACGGATCGCTCTGTGTCACTTTTTTAAAGCAAGGACTTCGGCCAGTCAGGAGGGTCTCACAGGCATCACTAATAAGAAAATGACAGGGCGGACTGTGCGGCATCTGGTCATGAAGTGTAGTAAGACGAGGCAGGGTGATGTGGCGTGAGGGCCGCAGACTCGCTGTTTCTCCCAGCAACACATTCAGGTAAGTATAAGGGGCTTTCATAACACTAACAGAGAACTGAGGCATCACTTGAAGGCAAAACGTGTTATCCAAGGTTACGGAGTTTTTCATGGTGAGAATGAATGCATCTAATACCTACTTGCATCACAATTTGACCTTATAATTAAGAGTTTTTAAAAATCAGTTTTGTAGGTTTCAATTAACTTTTACAAATAGAAATGTTAATAAGAAATAAAACTTTATGTTAGCTTCATATTCTCACCTACTTTAAAATTATTAGCTATATAATTAACATTGGCTTCTAGTTCATAGATACTTTTGGTTAGATCATGAGTTTTAAAATAAAATATGACATCTTTGGAGTTTTGCAACCTGAATATTGTTAATTTTTTCTTTTTCATTTTGATGTTTTCGGATCCATAGCCATGGAAATAGTACATAACTAAGAAAAGTCAGTGTCCATTTCAGTAATGATGTATAATGTTTGTCTACTGAATTTTTCTGTAGTAAATATTACGATCTTGTATAATGATAAAGTAGCAACTTATTTGCTAGTATTTATGTTGCTTCTAAACTGTTATTTTTGGTCTGTTTTGATTTCAAAATATACTTGTAATTCAAAACTTGTGCAAAAGATATTGATTAACTAAATTGTCTATATATAATTATAAAATAAATGCATGTATGTATTACATAAAACATCTCTCTCTCTCTCTCCGTTCAACTCCCTGCAGTCCTGTCAGTACCAATTACTCAGAAGATACTTGCATGATCAATAGTAGCTCAAAGGAGTACATGGCCCTCACCTGAGCATACCCTACTAGTAATCACTGAAAATTTTACAGTTGAAGTCAAATACGTTCTGCCTCTTTGTTACTATTTCTATTAATGTTCGTGCTCACTAAATCTGAGATCGGTTTGCCTAGAATTAAATTCACCTGGACGGAAGCCCTGCCCGGCTGTGCCCGCCGCCGCCAGAAGCTGTCCTTGCCTCCCACAGCGCAGAACGCCACGCGTGCACGGTGCTGGCCTTCTGGACTCTCCGCGGAGCCGCGCCTGGCGCGCCGTGGTGTGCAGGATGCGCGGACGCTCTTCTGCAGAACGGCTGCTCTGAGAACGGCGCTTGCGTTGACCCTAAGCGGCGGCTGGTGGCCCCCAAAGCGACGGAAGAGCGTCCCCTGGGCGGCGGGAGCAGGACGGAGCCGGGCCTTGCGGGACACTGCGTTGGCGCGGGCGGGCGCCCGACCGGAGCGCTGAATCGCCGGGTGCTCCGACGCCACGCGGGCTGAGGTCCGCAGGCAGCCCGGGGCTCCCCCAGGCGCGCACCTCTGTCTTCTCACGCCCTTGAGCGCCGACCAGGGCAGCTCTGCAAATTGTTGTGCCCTGCTGTGACACACTGGCTGCTCGAGGGTCTGTTGGCACATGGCCTACAGGGAGAATAATTCTCCAAGGAATGATACACTCCACGAGGAAGGCTACCATCAGCTACAAATAGTTTTAGCTCTTAATATTACTTAAAATTTTAAGGCATTAATACAACGATGCATTAGAAAAGTACTGCACCTCCACAAAATAGCTTTCCACCTTTAAGCAAATGAATGGGAGAGTTTTCACTTACATAAGCATAAGCTTTCTAACACTTCCACAGGGTAAACGTGGCACACTATAAGCTCACTCCCGTATGTCACAGTGATGGGCTCAGGAGACAATTACCCACTTCGAAGGCGCTGTCCTCCGTGTTACTGACCCTGACAGGCCCAGCATCCCGGAGTCTGAGAGATGATAAACACTCAGAATCTGCATCTGGGTTAACTAATAACTGAAACTGGCGTAGCTTTAAGGAATCACTTACGAAACACACTGTAGCTGAGTCTGCACTGGGGGTTTCCATGACGTCTTTCGTAAAGCAGGGGAACTTTCAAGAGCAACGTGTAACTGGCAGGAGCCATTGCTAAGGCAGATGTTTAAGGTAACGGAAGAGGAACGGACGCGTATGCACAATCAATTATGGGTAACAGATGCTATCAATTCAACTGGTACTGAAATCAGACTTTTAGATCCTAATTTTTAAAATATTTTCTTTTGTACTAAACAGAAATTAGAGAAAGGACAGTTCTTTCAGGGGGAAAAAAAAAAGGCTCAGGTCGGGTGTTACTGTGCACGTAAGCACCACCTGGAAAGCAGGCAAGAGCGTGCGACCCCGGCCTGTGGGCCACTGCAGCTGCACCGCCCAGGGCGCAGCGAGTGCTCGCTTAGCAGACGCTGAGACGCTCTGCGACGAGCAGCACAGGCAGAATTTTCAGACTGCAGCGACAGATGCCGTGGACACGGCGCCCACGGGAGCAGGGCAGCTGCGAAGCCTGTTGCCTTCTGTGTACTCTGCAACGCCAGCGCCACAGGATTTCCCTGCAGCTGTGCGCCGGAACCTCCCATTGCAAGTGGCGATCTGTTCTTCGGTGAGTCCTCTGGGTTGGTCACCATCATCTTCATTTGAGAGGAAAGACTGAGCCAGACCAAGGGATGGGAAAGCCCCACTTTCGTCGAATGTGCCACGCCGTAGGTTGATCCTCTCACCTGGGACCTAACGCTGGGCTTCCTTCATTACTGCTTTCAAACAGCTTTGAGCTAGTTTCTGGACTGTCACCACTAGAGCTGGAACCAGGACTGGAACTGAGCCTGGAGCGAGAACTGCTACCACCAGAACTCCCTCTCCCATACCATGGTTCTACCCTTTCCACCCGGGACAAGCCATAAAGTTCTAATTGCTTTCACTGTACATAAAACAACTAAATTCACCAAAACCTGTAATTATCCCTCTTAACATGGTTCGAATTGCAACAGGTGCAGTATCACTTAAATCAGCATTTAAGTGTCTACAACTAGGAACCCTAACTGTGCTGATGTAGGTTCTCAACCTGCCTGCTCAGAGCGTGAAAACGTGCACCCAAAACCTCACTCACTGTCATGAGCAGCAGTGTCACTCGGCATCTGCGACCTTGAAGGAGCTCTGCTGGCTATGCCCTGTCTGTCGAGATTCTCCAGGATGAACTCTTCTGACTTGAAGATCAAGGATGATGGCTGGACGTCGCTGTCCTGATCCTGCAGATTCACCACTGCTGGCTGTGTCTGAAAGACCTGCTCCTTGAGAAGATTTCTTGTTCTAGAAGCTACAAAAAGACCCCTAGCTAGCAGCTCAAGCCCAGTTATTTGTTGTCTGCATGTCACAGCTGCTAGGTTCTAGAACTGCCCTTGGTCCCCTTTGCCAAAGTGTGCTCATAAGTCAGGATGAAACACTATGATGAAATCTTCCTGGAATTTCCCTCGCTGGTTGCAGAGCTGACCTTCTCTCAGCTCTGGCTCTGTTTCTCGACAGTCTGGGCTGCTAGTTCTTGCCCTCCTCTGACCTCTAGTAGGTGGGACTTCTGCTGTCACTGGTGCAATTGAATTTCCTTGTGGCCTAGAGGGTCTTTCAGATGCTGAGTCAGATTGTGGATTTTCCACTTGCCTTTGGCTGTTGTTTTCTATAGTTTTTCTACTAGAGCATCTTGAAGATGGCTCATTTTCCTTTTCTGGGTTTTGCCTTCCATTACTACCAAGCACGTTTATCTCTAAACTGAATCTGAAATCACCACTGTCTTGACTAGTCCTGCTCTCAGCTCTCCAAGAGTGGTTTTATCTTTGCCCTCTTGTGCTTCCAGCTTGACCAACAGAAGGAAGCCAGTTGATTGCAGAGTCAGTACTAGACAGGTCATCGGGTGAGCCTCCACCTCCACTTTCATCTGAGTTTTGGGCTGGTGGACCCTCTTTCATTCGTTGTAACCTCAGCAACTCTTTCTTAGTACTTTCTCCTGGGGTGCCTAGCAAATTGCTATTTCTCAAATCTATAATATTCTTCACTCAAGTTATTTACAAAATGATAGAAAGCTTCTCGTAGATCCAGTAGGTCTATCTGACTTCTGTGCTGTGTTGCAGACTGATACCCACTTTATTAGGATCTGCATTTTCCATGATGCTGAACAAGTGGGAAATTATCTTCCTGTTGTGACCCTGAAATACACTAAGCCGAATTCGAGTTTCCTTCGTATTCTGCCTCAGTTTCAAGGTCATGAGCTGACTCGGTTCACTCGGCCACTTCAGCTGCTGTGCTTGCAACCACCCCCAGGAGGTTGGCTGAGGCCTCTGCAGAGGGGGCATTTGCCCCATGTGTTGCTGCACTACAAAATGCTCAAAAATGTGCTACCAGTAATGCAAATGACGCACTGGAAAAGGTCAAGAATGATTCCGATAAACTATTCAAAAATTCACTGCAAAACTGCATTATGATGTTTAGCTAACAAGTATAGAAAGCCTGAATTAAATTGATCATCACTTACTTACTGAGCACATACTACACAGCAGGCAATATACTGTGAATGAGAGATACATTGTGAATAAATGTCTTGGAGATTTAAGGACGCAAGCCAATTTGTTTTTAACTATTTCAGGGAGTCAGGGATGTGGGGAATCAAACTCAGGGCTTTGTGCTTGCTAGACAGGTACTGTGCTGCTGAGCTAGCTCCCTGGCCTGAAAACAAATTTCAGAAAGCAACAAATAGTACAAAGAAATCAATAGGCAGGAACAATGGTAGAGTGAGATGAAGCAAAAGCACAGCAGTGACATGAGAATGAGTGAATGTACTCACAGTGCAGAACTGAGGCTTTGTGGTTTGCAATAATATGATGGCAAGGAGTTGAGGATGGAGCTATTCTGTTAGGGGTGGACAGTAGGCTTTTCATTTGGGCCCTGGGTAAAATCAGCTACGGCAGGAGAAGGGAGGGACTCTAGAATGGGGAAGTGGGCTGTGGCTTCAGTCTCCAGCTCTGAAACCCAGAGCGTTTTCCTGCTTAGAGAAGCTTGTGTCCTGGGCGTCCAGTTGGGCAGACCCAGCAGCGAGTCAGGCTGACGGGGAGCCTTCCCCGGATCCTCCTTTCTCTTCACCTTGGAGAGGCTCTCATCTCCTTTCCTCTGCATGGCTGCTTCTGCGTGCCTTGTTCCTACACTCCAGAAAGTCCTTTCTCTCCCTTTCCTCTCGGGCTGAGTGGTGCATTCAAGGCCTTCATGCTGTACAGCACCATCTTATCCACAGCCCCTTTCTTGAGACAAGGTCTCATTTGTAGTGCAGGCTGGCCTAGAACGCACTACATAGCCCAGGCTGCTTTGGACTTTGGCAATCCCTCTGCCTCAGCCACCTAGGTTCTGGGCCTGCAGGCGTGCTCCACCACACCTGGCTGACCCCCACTCTTTTTTATTTTGAGGTTGATTCTTGTTAAGTTTCCCAGACTGAGCTCCAACTTACGATCCTTCTGCCTCAGGCTCCCGAGTGCTGGGACTCCAGGCATGCAGACCACAGTGCCCAGGTGTTCTTCAGAGGTCTCATCTACTGCAAGTGGAAAGGTGCAGTGATCGAAGCTTCCCAAGTAGTCATACGGAAGAACAGCAGAGGTCAGTGATGTCTAACAAGGGCACCAGCCAAGACAGGCAGCTGGTGCTTAAAGGAGAAAACTGAACTCAAAAAATGAAAAAATAAAGTTACACAAACTCAGAAGTCACAGATGTTGTTTAGGGATAAGCTCCAGAGATACACTGCTTTCTAGAGGACTTAATCACTTGATCCAACATCATAAAGTGGTTTACAAATTAAAATTTAAAGATAATAGGAAAAGCAAACAAAACTATATTAACAGTACTAAAGCTCAATAATAGAGAAAGAACTTGGAAACAAATTTTGAGGAGGTTGACAGTGAGATGTCTGATGGGAACGTAAGGATCCGTGTGGGATTTCCACATTTGTTTTGGAATTTGATTTGTGGAAAGGTGGAAGTGGTGCACACAAAGGGGCAGGTTTGGGCATTCTGGCTTTCCAGCATCGGACTGTAGGAGGGTGTTTATGGAACAGAGAAATGTCCCTCACGCTAACACACTCTCCTCCATTGTGTTTGATTTTATTTTTAATCACTGTGCTAGGCAATACAAGAAAACACATTTTCTACAGATATTGGCTGGTTATTTTATGAACACTGCAAATTTCCTCCATCACAAGTACTAATTTTATTTATTTACTTATTTTTTTAGTGGCACCGGGGCTTAAATGCAGGCCCTAGCGCTTGCCAGCCAAGCACTTACTCTACTGAGCTATCTCCCTGGCCCCACTAATTTTATTCAGTTAATTTTTCCTACCCTTCCCAACTTTATTTTTTCTGGTTTTGTGACAGAAAGGAAGAAAGTAAGCTCAGGAACAGAGCATCAGTG